GAATCCCGCTCGTGACACTGACTTTATCTCAACTGAAAACCTTAATTAATTGAAAAATATTAATTGCTCAAGCGGACCACGAAAACAAGTGAATTATGCTCAATGTCGAAAACCTTGATATAGGAGGTATGGATGTTATATGCTCTTGGTGTCTTTGCTGCATCGTTGTTTGAGAAGCTTGTCGATCGGGTAGTAACCATGGCTATAAAATTGTTTTACCTGATCTCGATGCCTATCCCGATGAAGGAAGCCGGTAAATGAAAAAAAAAAGGAGCGGCGAAGCCCCCTAGTTTATTTTATAAAAACTTTAATTCTGTGGACTTATTTGTGTGTAAAAGCCGAAAATATTATCCCCGAAACAGGTTGTTCCCTTTTTGAAAAAGCATTCCGATCAGGCTTATGCAAATTTTAAAACAATTATCAATTTAGGGGCGATTTAAAGCAAAAATCTATCAATGGTTCGTTATGACAACTTAAGACCTCCTATTCCAAAGCTACTTAATTTTTTAAATCGAAATATGAGATAGATTTTTTTTAATAAACGTAAATCGTTGCGTGAAGGGACGATCAAGGATTCGGCCGTTGAAATTCCTGAGATTTTCTGGTGGGGCTTACCCCGCCGGTTTTGGCTTCGGTCGAGCGATTCGTGGAGGCCTAGGAAACAGGTTTTACCGTTGCCCGAGTAAAAACACAAGCTCTTCCTGCCCTAATACACGTTGCACGGCGCACCCAGTCTCACCGGCTCAGACCCCGACGGCCCATTTTCCCTTTCTATCCGTTTGCCGTACCTGTAACCCTTTGGGTCCGGTTTGACGTCCCGGACAGGTAGACGAAAAACCTACGAGTACGTTCCTTGGAAATTTTAGCCGAAAAATCTTCCCACTGGACTTTCAAAGTTCAGTTGTAACATTTGTGATGTACTTGAGATGTACGGGGTGGTGAACACCCCTCCCCCCCCGAAATAAATGAAAATATTTTTGTTTATACAGCTGTAGTCTACGTAAAATGATTCCGCAATGTTCACAGTTCGTTTTCGGTGGGGTTAAAGCCCATCTATGGCGAAAGGCGCTGTCCTCTTCTATGTAATACGTGAGGACTTAGTAGCTGAATCCCATCACTTCTATAGGTACTTCGGGCGTCAATGATGCGAACGCGTTGTACACACTTGCTTGGGCATGGCAAGGATTTAGACTCGTCATTTACAGGATTACAGAGCATTCGTGTCCAACGGAGTCCAAGAAAAAGAGGTCCCCTTTCGACTCATAATTGATCCAACCAGGAATCCCCACAATTTTTATCTATGTTGTAATTATGTTAAAGGATAAAAAAAATTAAAAATCCCAAAAAGGGTGCGGAAAACATTGCTTAAGTTCTACATTGTTGTAGGAACATTACCCAAATTGTATTTTATCCTGACGTGTCTCTAAGACTGGAGGGTTTTTAATATTTTAGGCAACTTCCTTCATCAATGCATAAATTCTCGTCGACCTCACTATATTTTCCAGCTAATTCAATTCAAAACTTCTATTCACTCTCATAACACCCGCTCATCTCCCAATGAATTATACCTTTCTCGTCATAAAACCTCCACATTTGGACGATCCTTCTTAGCTCGAGCCGCAGATCTCTGGAATTCTCCAACCACCATTTCCCCTTTTAAATCTCTCCTTTACAAACTCATCTCCCTCCAAACTACTACATAAGAAAACTTGTTTCTTTCCTTTTCTTAACTTTTTAGTTTACAATTTGTTTTGTGATTTTTTTTTACGAGGGTTCGCAACAGCAGAGGTTAAATCACCCCCCTCGGGGTGCCGGTGTTTTTGAAAAAAAAAATTTGTACATTGTCGGGTTCGAAAGCAGGGCCGCTGGATTCGAACCCGGGACCTTTACCTTATAGTGATCAGCGCCTTGACAACGCCTAAACCAGTTTGTGATTATGATAGCACAAGATAGTGTTACTATTTTCCCCTATATTCTTATTTAGTACTATTATTTCTATGTATGAGTGTTTTATATCAATTTTTTTGGTATTAAGATAAGCCCAAAGTTTTGACGACCATCTCACTAATGGTGTCGTCCAACAGACCTTCCAGATCAGCTGTCTTTCGTCAAAAAAACTACTTTAACACACTTAACACGATTAGCACAGTTTACGTGAATACCTTACCTCTAAAATGCTAATAAGCTTTATTTCGACTGGTTTAAGATCATCTTCGGCACAGTTTTGCCTTTTTTTTCTCTTGAGAAGAGAGGTTTATTTTGAAAAATCCGTTTGGCGAAGGTCAGATGATCATTGAACTCAAATCTGTTTTCAAAAAATACTGTTTCACACAATTTGTTTTCAGGTACTCATACATTACCAAATGTATTTAATGCTTGCCTAATAATACTGTTTACACAGTACCTATTCTTCCGCGTAATATAAGTATATATATATTTTTTTTTCTTTTTTTAATTGGCCCCACGTGGCCATGAATAATACACCGTTTATCGACAGTTTATTATCCTGGTCCGCCTAGTCTCCCTTTTCATTTGGGATAGCACGGGAGAAATTATGACTACGGCTAATGATATTTCTGTAGTAGGAGTGAAGAAATTTATCAATGTTTTTCTTCGACATTTTAAATCTCTATAAAGAAAATATTGTCAGATTTGACAGACGTATACGGTCGGGCCAAGGTAAAAAGGTGAGAAACAAAACCACAATCCTGCATATGTTATTGAAAATTGATCGTTACATTAAAACACTTCGATCGTTTTTAGTGCGCGAATAATTCGTAATATTTTCTTAACTTAAATCGTCCGTCTAAATTTTTAAAATCAATTTGACAAAACCGGATACTGTTCTAATTTCACAAACGGAACTACTTTAATAAAAGAAAAATCGGGCCAAAAAGTTATGTGGACTTCGGGTTTTACGAGAAATAAAATAGTGGATTGGCAACAACTTTGCAATTCCGTAAGCAATAAATCCATTGAAATGACGCAATGCTGGGACTGTGTTGGTGATTTATTTATACTCGGTACGATTGTGCACGGCATTTTCATGGATTCACTTTAATATTGATATTTGCATATATGATGCAATATGTTTTACCAATAAATGAATAAACTCCAGCTACATTTCCCATATTTTTATTATAGAGCGTTATTTACTCCCAGGTGAAGTCGAAGCCATAATTGGAACAGAATGCAACGATATCGTACTCGCGTTGCTTAGAACATGTAAAGATTGCCTCTTTGAGGTAATACAAGACCGATATCACATTAGTCCCAGAGTAAAGTTCCGAAATGCATGTATATGCTGCACCTAGAGACTTGCATGTGACAGCCCAAGAGGAACACGCATGCAGGAGCATCGTTCAATCGTTCCATAGTTTAAAATGTGAGCTCGTAGAAGTCTGAACTGACAGAAAGGAGGGAAACGTTTGCCATCCTTCACGCTATCATTGTCATGGGTGACAAAAATGATCTTTCGGTTCATTATGAACACAAGATGTTTAATGGACTCGGTCGAAGGCACAGTCACGCCTTCGAATAGAATTTTTACGTACAGCCACGGTGTCCGTTCAATATTGAATGTTGCCAAGGCCTGGGGATTGTTTTTTGCCGGAGTTAATAATGTTCAAAAATTCGCTTAAGCAAGTGAATTTACATTTGTTACATAGGTTGGTAACGACATCTTTCGATATAGGGCTTTACATGAAATCTATTTTTTATTGTGTGAGAACCAGCACCTAAGGAATGAATTTATTATGAATTTCTTTTTTTTTAAATTATCACTAGAGATGATTTTATGTGATGATGGTTTTATAGGAAGAAACCCTCCAGAATGATGTATGAGTTTTTATGGTTCCCAGAAGGTTTGCAAGAAGTCTAAAAAAATTTAGGCCAATATTATTAGGTAAAATATTAGGTATTGATACGGCGGTCATTGTTCTGATAGTCTTTTGTCATAAGTTTGAATCTTTTTTTTCCAACATGGCTAGTTTATGATTTCACGCTCTCGTTATGTGATTGATTGTTTTAGTTTTAAAAAAAGTTTTGTTTTTAAAAAAATTGGCTAATGTAATGATGGGTGTAAATTCCCGAAACGTCCAATTAAATGTTTAAATAAGTAATGAATTTACTTTTTTTTTAAACGGAATTTTTTTTTAAATAAAAACCAAAAAAAAGTAAATATGGAATAGACCATACAAATTGAATAATTATTTGCGTATTAACCTATTAATATATTTGTTAAAATAATATTTAAATCTTTGCTGTTTATGCTTCAATTCTATAACTTGGTTGTTGAATTTTCTATAACCTATAAAAATATTTTTGCTTACATTGTTTCCTTGTATTAAAATATATTATATTACATAGTAAAATTAACTGTACGTACCAGTGGATTTCCTAACACTGTAACTTTTTATTAATTTACCTCTCTAAAGTATTAATCTTATCAATTACGACCTCATAATTTTTGGATTATATTTTACGTTTTATTATTTATATAATATATTCATTGGGCACAAATTTTTTACCTTTTTCTTTATCTATTTTATTTCATTCTTTCAAATTTGAATTAGACATTTTATCTTTAGTTGTATATAAAGGTGGCATATTTTATTTTTCGTATACTGATATACCATTAAATTATTATCTATTGCGTTTTCTTTTTTAAGGATTGTTAATATTTTTTCTATTTGCTTTGTGCATAAGCAAACCAGCATATAATTTTTTTGTACATAATATCTTTATATTTGATGTTAAATTTTTGTAAGTTACTGAAATAATTTTATTTGGTTTTGGAATGTTTTTAATAGTAGTTTTTTGGAGGTAATTTTTTGTTGTAAAAAATTTTTTCAATTGTTTATATTATTGTTATGAATGTATCTGAGTCGTGTTATTTGTTGTAAAAGGATGTGTGCGTCGGCCGTCGTGGTCGTCTGGGAGAAGTGCACTCGGGTCTCGGCGGGAGGAGGAGTGCGCAGATGCCGGTCTGCTCGGGTCGGGAGTGCGCAGCGTTGCTTCAATGACGGCGGTTGGTCGTGGTGGGGCCGAGCAGCTCCCACGGGCAGACAGTAGCCTACTTAACGTTGGGCATGACACATCTTCAGTGGGGTAGACGTGCTTTGTCATAAAATAGTCGGTAATGGGAATGGGAAGTGTGGGAGTGTTGTGATAATTCGACTCGGAGTGGGTGTTCAAGTGGAAGCAATTACATTTCTCGTTGCGTTCAATTGTTAAATGGTTAAAATGTCAGTGATGCAGATGAGTAAGAGGCAGCATTGCTATTTATGCGATCTCCCGAGGATGCCTTGGGCAATGTTGAACGACTTCTCGGAGGCGGTCTGTCGCGGGTGCGTCAACTACGAAGGCACGGATAGGATCGAAGTGGTCCTGGAGACTGCCCGCCAGATGAAAAGGGCCCACGGATTCCAGGAGGGCAGGTCGGGCACGTCGGCAAGTCACCACCATGGCGTGGCCGGCAAGTCCGCCACATTGCACAGGTCGGGCGGCGGCTCTCACGAGTCGTCTCATCAGAACGGGGTGGCCAGTCTGGAAGTTGTCGGCATCGGGATCCCGCCCGCTGCTCACACGAGGCAGTCAGGCCAGCAGCAGCAACAGCCTCCGCAGCCGGGAGCGCCCCTGTACAACGCCTTGCACCACCCTCGAGCCGGCCTCCTTGCCGAGTACAGCACCCAACAGATACGCACTTCGTCTTCGAACCAGATGCCGAGGACCATGTCGACCGAAGGTGAGCACGACATGGCGTTGCCGAGGCCCGCGGGCATCAGACTGACCACCGCCTCCACTCACATAACCACCCATCACATCCCTCAGGGGCATTCTAGGCCGGGATCTCTCCCGCCGCAGAACATCGCCCTGAAAAGAGGGCTCTCAGCGGGCGAGGACGAAGACCACCATTCCTCGCACCACAACCACAACGGCGAATCGTCCAAACGGATGATGACGGTGGAAGACCACGCCAACCGGCCTCCCCTCACCAGAGGAGAATCCCTGCCGGCGGTGAGCCTCGCCGTCCCATTCGGAGACCGCAGCTACAAAACCGAAGCCAAATTGACGGTACGAGCTCCGTCTTTCGACACGGCCACCACCTTCAAACTTAACGGTTAGTAAAACAAAATTTTATCCCGCCGATCCCACGATTTATGACGCTGTACGGTCAGTCTCTTCCTGCCGGTTTAGAATCTGTCGGAGAAATGTGTCAGACGATGCCGTCGGGGGTCGGATTCTGTAGTATTTTGTGTAAATTCCCCTCCACCGCCCTCCTACACCATAGGAAATGTTTACGTATTTGGATCGATAAAGTGGCCGTGTAGGGATCTCACCTACTCATCGTCATATGACGTAACGTTCGCGTTTATCTAGCATGCGCACACCAGACCCGTCGATACAAACCCTCCATAAATCCCCCCCCCCCGGACCGTTAATGGGCACCTTTCAGATTTTTAACCATCATCACAGCGTTTCTGAAAAGTTCTACAACTCTGTGAAACGGTGTAAAGGTCTAGGGGTCCGACGATCCGCACTTTTCCCACAGGGAGAAAAAGCCCTTTTGTACCTGCCCCCTCCCACTTTAGGATATGGTACATACATATGTTGTACTGGTGAGCTCCCATTGCGTAAATAAACGTGTAAATTCAAACTTGAATAATTTAATCATTTTCGTCCCAAGTAAAAAGACCCCCGGCCAAATGAAATTGAATAATTTGGCCTCTGGCCAAATATGTAAAAATAATTTGTTTTTTTAAAGGTACCCCGGTTTGAAATAGTCGGTCGATCCCTGGTGAAGTAGTCTGTGCGACAGCAAAATGCTATTGAAATTATAATAATCCAAATAAAATAAATCTTTCATAGACTCTTAACGGAAGATGAAGAAATACGTTTCGAGAAAAAATATTCCATCAAATATTGATCAAAAACAAAAATCGAGTCTTTAATGCTAGGTGTAATAATATTATACATATTATTATTTTCATATAATATTTGTAGTGGAGCACACCAAAAACACGTCAATTATCAACGGCGCATTTCACATATAAAATATCATGAGTTGTTCATAGATAATTGCTTAAAGCTCGCAAGGTTCGGATAAAATACTAGAAAGAGGGAAAAGCCATGCTTACCCATCTTATAATTTAAAAAAAAAAATCGTTAAAACTTTATCACACACACAATATATTATGTAAAAATTCTATGTAACGTCTAAGGAAGAATAGTTTATTCTCATTAACCAATTTCAAACAATTATGAAGCATTTATGAAAAAAATGTATAACCATGATAGGATAGTTACAAACCGAGAATTTAAATTCTTTAAAAAAATAAAACATTGACGGTATGATTTATACATATTTTTTCTCTAATGTTCTTAATATATCACATCTTTAATTATTTAAAATACTACCAAAATCGATTTCCATCCTTAACCATCCCTTAAAAACATAAAATATCCCACCAATATTTTGTTGTTTTAAAACAAAACACAGTCGACTCTTGATATTTCCAAACCCAAGAGATTACAAAAATAATTCAAATTAACAAGAGTATCGAAAATCAAATTATTAAGATCAGATCTGCATTTTTCGCAAAATAAATAAATAGATAGTAAATAGATGAACTAAAAAATTGAATATTGTTAATGCATCATTAAAAAAAAAAAAAACGTGAAGCGGTTTTTGAGTCAATGGTGGCCTAGTGTTCTTTGTTTCAATGATTTTGCAAAGTGGCCAGTTAAGAGAACACAGAGAAAAACAGACCACTGAACATAAAGTAGAGAAAATTCCACGAAACTTTTGGTTGTAAGGAAGTAAACAACACGAGGAAATTTATAGCCATATTACGAAAAAAAGTGAATTACATGGGAAGTGGCTACATTTCGATTTATAGTATGTCCTCTCCCCTTGTTACGAAAAATATTTCCTATTAAACGAGTGTATCGTATCAAAATGCACGGACTCGATTTACCAGTGACCTGCTGATCAAAAAATTCGAATTGACAAAAGTCGTCTGTATTTGCCATTATAAATGAATGTCTTTAGGGCATTATGCAAATCGCATTTGTTTTCAAAGGTTTCTTATCATGTCCACTGACCTATGTGAAGGAGGAAAAATAAAAATGAAATAGCTGGACGGATTTAGCGTGGCGAGATTATCTCAGAAAATGGCTGGTCGTTGGGAAGTTGCAACAACAGGGTAGTAGATAACCTTTGATGAAATTGTGACTTTTTTTGTTATTGAGGTTATTAGTACTGTCCTCCCTGATCTTACTATTAAGTTTATATACTTACTATTATGGTTTATGCCTGCTGTTTTGATATTCTGATTATAAAATTATCTGAGCCAGCTCGACTGGGTAAAATATTTTGATTAGCTGTCGACATTATTTGTATAAATCTTAGCAACCCGATTTAATTTTATGAATGCTTACTTTCTGTAGGTTGTACCACAGTTGTAAAATGATGTCAAAGTTTGTTGGTATTTTTTCGGAAAACGAATGAGATTTACTAATGCTATCAAAAAGCATTATGATCCCGGTCCCCCAATGATTTTCTTAAAGATGACGTCTTGAAAAGAGACAAAATCAAATCGTACACTGACATAATTATGCCAATTTTTATATACTTATAATAATTATAAGTATTAAATCTACTGTGTGAATTAGACGTTAGATCATTTTTGACTGAACGTCGTGGAAAGCACTTTTGATTTTTTTTTTCAATCATGGTCAAATTATTACAATAATCTATTTTTATGGTGTCTTCAAAATTATGGTTTTATAAAATCCTTTAAAAATCCTCGAAAATTTAAAGATCCAATGCTTTATATATTCTTACCTTTAACCTGTATAATTATACTGCTTGTACAGTTATAATTTATATCTTTATGAAAACGGAATTTATTACAGGACGTCGACTAACGAACATAAATTAGATTTCAACAAACGCTTAAAACAATATGTTATTTTGAACTCATAATTTTCCAACGATAAAATGCATATTTTGCAATATTTATAGTTTATTTTAAACCGAACGCTTCATTTAGTTTTGTCTTAGTATTTTATTCGAAGGACGTGTAAGGGTTAAACAATAAATACAAAAATCATCAACCCTGCGGTATTTGCATTGGCGTTTTTCGAAATTGTCTTTTATAAATTTAAAATTTATATGCAATTTTCGTGAAACTTTTCAAAGAGAAGAAAGTAAAATATATGAAAATACCGACTGACCTGGTTAAATTTGCATTAGTTATTGGTCGAACGTGTTTGTTTTCTTTTCTAGGATCGATAATGCTTTTATAAAAGGTAAAATTGCAATACGCCTTTCACTCGTAACATAATGGACGTTATTTATACCATATTATTTTCTATTTGGTAAACAGGAACATTTTATGAGTGAAACATTGAAAAATTCTCTCTCCTAGTTAATTGATGCTTAAGAAAAAGAACGATTAAAATTACGAGTAGACAGTTTAGTGTTCTAAAACTACCTTTTTTTCAATTTTTTATGGTGGGTAATAAGTCGATGTTCAAGTAAAAACCAAATAGAAATCTTGGATTGGAAAGAGGAAAAATATACGTGTTATTCGCAAAATATCCTAAATCTTCTACGATAGATTCGAACAAACAACTTTCACTCTTTCAATTTGTTGTTCACTCTTACAATTAATGACTATTTAGGGATCGTGAGATGCGGTCTGATGTGATGTAGGTTTATAAAAACATTTTCTTTATCGTGCCAATGTTTCGAACTTTATTGAGATCATCTTCTGAGCACAAAGTTTGTTTTCTGTGTAGATGTGTCACGGTTGTGTGTCGTCAACACTCTCCAACACACCACACACACCCTAGACACATGTACACAGAAAATACAGTTTCAGCCTCCCTGATGATGATCTCAATAAAGATCGAAACCGTTGGCACGATAAAGAAAATTTTTTATATTCATCAGACCGCATCTCACGATCTCTAAAGTCATTAATTATCGGTCACTAAATATAACACGTACTTACAATTAATGCCGAGATACTGTAACTCCTTCAAACCGATGAGGGTGTAATGCATGAAATCCGGATCGCCGGAAACCCAAAACTGTGAATAAGAACTGTCTTTTAAAGTAGTTAATCAACAAATTCACTTCACCTTGTTCATTTGTATTATTGTACCAATTGTTTTAACATATCGAAGAAAAGACAATCGACCAAAAAAGGAAGAGTAGTAAATCTTAAGTATTTTTGGTTCCTCATAGTAATAGCAAATACCATATGCTTCTCAATTATCATAGAGATGTTTAATATATTCAATAGTTTCTAGTTGAAAATTATACCTACGTTTTAATATCCTTTTGTTTTATGGCACGATAAAACAACGTCGGCAATACCAAAGTGTGAGTAAGTCTTTTAAAGAAGTTAATAAACAAACACACCCCGCATTGATCATTTCTATTATTGTAGCATTTTTTAACCAAGCATCGAAGAAAAGACAACTAAAAAAAGGAAGAGTACCAAAGACCAAAGAGAGGAAGTAAATCCTAAAGCTTGCTCATCGTATTTTGGTTCCACAAAGTAACATATTAGCAAGAACGATATGCTTCTTACTTATCATAGAGTTTTTTAGTTGAACCTGTTTTTTAATATCCTTTATGTAGAACTACCTTTTATTGAGACCAACTTCAGGGCTCAAAGATGATGGATTAAGATGATATCAATAAAGATCAAAACGTTGGCACGATAAAGAAAATGTTTTTCTAAACCTACGTTACACCAGACCGCATCTCATGATCTCCAAATAATCTTAGTTTTAAATTAATACATGGCAAATAAATTTTATTTGTATAAAAGCATGCTTTGCTCATAAAGAGGAAAGGTATGCTTTTCATCAATAGTGGAGATTGACGAAAGATTACGATTGGTCATTTGGGCGTCACCAATGTATAGCTGTCGCATATTTTCCCTATGCAGTATGTTTTAATAGATCTATGTTGATCCCAGAGTGGGTGAAAGTAGGGGTTAGGCTTTTGTGAAGGAGGGATGTGCGTGTGAGGGGTAAATCCGGTTTGTAATGGGGCAACATCGATTTCCGCTGGTCTTGAATAGGAGGTGACGTCAGCCCAAGGACTCGGCCCGAGTCGGCCGGGCTCGCTGTGGAATGCAGCCGGCTGCTCTATGAATGCCGTAATCGCCTGGCGTCCGCTCAGCCCCGCTGCTCCTACGTCAGACTCTGTTGCCGATGTTGCACGCAGGCGCCCACCAAGCAACGGCAACAGCGCAACGCACGTCATCCTCTCGTGACGTCACACAAATAACATTGACCGAGCTTTCTTCTTCTTCGGCCCCCCCTCCTCTTCGCCGCGCCGACGTCTGTACTTCTACGGTCTACGCCGGGCCTAGCTCTGCCCCTAAGGAAACTTGCCACACAAATAATTTAGGGGCGGGGGGATTAACGGCTTTCCTTTATACAAATGTGTTTTTTTTTTAATTGGCTAATTATTGTGAATCCTGTTGGTAATTGCACATATGTATATAACATAAATGTATGTTTCTTCGTGACCTGTTGTTTCATAATTTGTTGAAGTCGTGAGGAGCGGTCAAGAATGAAATAGTTCAGAAAACACTTTTTTCATTTTTTAGCCGGCGTTTCGACCATTATTCGCGTCATCTATGTTTATTATCTATATTGTATTTTTTCCAAGGAACGTATTTTTTTCAAATTAACCCAGGCCCTGAAGATGACCCGAATGTCGAAACGCGTCTGCAAAAAAATGAAAAAGGTGTTTTTCTTAACTACCTCATTCTTGACCGCTTCTCACCACTTCAACAAATTATCTAACATAAACTTCAAATGCAAATTATAAATAATAAATATTTACAATAGTTGAACTTATCGCAAGCATAATGAAATTGAGAATTGGTTTTAATGATTTTGACTCAATAAACAAAAAACTTTAAGAAGGATATGAAAGAAATCTTAATCCACCTTCGTTAATTAATTACTACATTATTAATTTACAAAAACCACAATTGTAGTTTTGTTAGAAGAAAACACGTAGGAGGAATATAACTATGCCCTTAATGCTTTTTTCGCTAAAATAAGTTACCAATTAACAAAGTTACTCGAATAAAAATAACTAATTCTGTTTAAAATATCGTTTTTCAGTTAAATTTTAACTCATAAATGTTTGATTTTTCAGTAGTCTAGATGAAATCGTAAGGTTTTTCAATTCTGAAACTTCCTTTTGATGGTTTCATTCCCATTTCAAAACTATGATTTTTCACTAGAAACCAGCCAATTTAATAAAAACTAACAAATAGAAGTTTTCCAATATAAAAAAAATAAGCAGAATACCAGAAAGATTTGAATTTTTAGCCTATTTTAGTGAGAATTTTCTCTCTCTCTCTCTCTCTCTCTCTCTCTCTCTTCTCTCTCTCTTCTCTCTCTCTCTCCTCTCTTCTCTCTCTCTCCCTCTCCTCTCTTCGCTCTCTTCTCTCCTCTCTCTCTCTCCTCTCTCTCTCTTTCTCTCCTTTATTTTCTGTAAAGTGCTTGGGTGTTACAGTTAGTAAAACCCTTTCATGTAGCTTAAGTGTAACATGGCAAAGCAAATGCATTATGCGCTGTACCAAACGCTACTATCCGAATAAAGAAATCTATCGGAGTCTACACTTGTGATTCCACACTTATTGATTTGTTCTCTTGATATCACAGCAAAGTAGGCTCAAAACAACAGAGAGCTATGAACTCCTCGGGTAGATTCATATTTAGACACATGAGCACATTACTTCGTTTGTCACCGTTTGAAGTCGCGTAATGTTGAATATAGGAGATTTTATTTTCTGAGTTCGTTTCTCTATGGTTTGTCTCAAGATCCCCTCAATATTTACATAATCAGTTTATTAGTAAAGGTCAGCTTGAATTGAGATTAACCAAGGGTTTTGATCCTGGCTGATATATACCTCCATATAAGTCTGCCACTTGTCAAAAATCATTTTTAATCTATTCTTGCAAATTAAGGAACTCCCTCCCTACTGACATTACAACAAAACAAAAAACCCACAAACATTTAAAAATGCAATATAAAGTTACCTCTTTAAAAATTATCTGTTAAGCAAGCATAGACATTTGCATTTTATAAAAAATAAAATTTAAATTAAATAAAGTTTTTTTTATTAAAAAATATAAATAATTTATTTTGTTTCATTTGATGTTACATTGTTCTATTGCAGTTTAATCATTCGATTTTGAATTATTGTTCTATCGCTCAAAGAGCTTTTTTTACATTTTATAATTTATATTATTGTTTAAGTAAATTCAAGAAGCTTTCAGTCGCAGCATATTTTCGAATCAGAAACCTGCTGGTGTTAAATTCTTTTTGAATTTACGTACACAATAATATATAGTGAGGTTCCATCGCAAAGTGGTACAAATTTTAATAGAAATATTATATTTGTACTGTTTGTTGTTGTTATCCTTAAGGTAACTTNTCTCTCTCTCTCTCTCTCTCTCTCTCTCTCTCTCTCTCTCTCTCTCTCTCTCTCTCTCTCATCCACTCTCATCCACTCTCTCTAAAATTTATTTTAAGAAACTGTTAATGGGTTTTATCCCACGATAATTATTCACTAATGATTTGCCAAATATATTCTTCGTATTTGTCGTGCCTTTCGGTCAAAACGTCGTTGGACTCAACCGAAATTGGTAATTTGTCGAAACCAATGCAGTTAATAGAAGATATTATTTCTCATGCATCTCTTTGACGTAGGTAGGAATATTTATGAATAAGGAAAGTAATTCCTTTTATACAGGAGGCTTAACGTCCAACTTTATCAATTAAAATTCCATGAGCGGGATGCCGGGATCTGAGCACAGAACCGCTAACGGTGGCATATACAGTTATGTTTTAATATATTTATGTATACCTCAAAGGCAAAAGCAACCGGAGACTCGTATTTTGTTGTTCATTTCAAACCATATGTATGCTTTTTTATCATTAGATTAATTACAACGTATTTATTTTAATGCAAATCAAATTGAACGTATTTGATGAGTTTTAATCAAAATTATTTAATTAAGATGGTTTGAAGAAAAATTCATCAAAACATTTGAAGATGAGCATTAAAACTTGGTATATTAAAATTTAACTAACAAATGATTTTCCGGTGTTTCGGGTAATTTTAATTAAACATTTTTTATTAAAACCCATGAATTTCTAATCTTGTATAATTTGGGAATAAGTATGTTGTAATTATTATAACGATAATAATACAAATAGTTCGAAATAAACAACAAAATAGGAGTGTCCTGTTTTTTGTCTTTGTGTGTGTGGTATCATGAATTGGGACCGGTATGCTATCGGTATCGAACGAGGGATACGTAGCTCTCAATGGTTAATGAAATCAATTTTTTTCATAAAAAATTGTTCTTTGTAATATGAGTAAATTAACTAAATAATTAGGTAAGTTGGGAGATTACCTTATAAAGTATGCTCGGTTCACAAAAAATGACGGTCCAAATTAGCGAGTATAGGTAGATCAAAATGATCGGAAACTTTTAAAGAATAAATTTTGAAAGGCTTGAAAATTTTGAAGTTGCAAAACCTGTCAGTAGCTTTGAGATTCCTTCTGCGGGGTGAAGAACCTGTAATTTGTTACTTTGGTAGATTGAAAACGACCAAACTACAACTGGCTTTCTGACTAGATTGTAAAATGTTATATAATTATTTTTGAATTTTCCAAAATATGGATAGAAGTTTAGGCAATTCAGTGTTATCTGGTTTACCCTGCAGATTGATTAGGGATGGCTTACCTTGCAGATTTATCGTGGAGGAGCGATTTAGGCTGGCTGGCAGCGTCATTCAACCCGTCCCCAAAGGAATGTTAGTTTATTTTTAAATTTTTCTGTTAACCGCAGGTTATCCACCTTCGGCCGTGATTAACGTTTCGAATGGAGGCGGAGGAAGCCCTTCGCCGTTGGGCACGAGGACCAGCTCACCTCCAGAGCAGACGACCGTACAACCCCAAGGAGGTACGACCGGCCCCGCTGCTAACGCAGCCCCAAATACAGGAAACGGCTCGAGTCAATCCCCGATGGCGGCATTGATGTCCGTTGCTGACAACCTGCCACCGGGATCGCCGAGGAGTGCCGGAGGAAGCCCTCCCGGACCAGCGGCCACACCCGCAGCACCCAGGTCCGCCTCGAGAAGCTCGCAACACTCTCCAAACTCATCAGGTATATGGGTTTTTTTATATGTCATTGGATGAACTTTCGGCAGAACTATAAACAGCGAGTTATGTAACTGAAATTGATATATCTCTAACTGTAATATTTAGTGACCGTTAATTAATGAATATTTGAAGATCGTGCGATTCGGTCTTGTGTGATGAAGATTTATACGTAGATGCTTAGATGATATATTGATAGCAGTTCCCACAGATCAAATTTAAACTACATTAGATACACAATTGCCTTCACCCACGGTTATAATTTACACATGAAATCGAAAACAAAACAAAAATATCAGTTTTAGATACACTCGTGATAAAACAGATAGCACATTAATCACAGATTGGTATCAAATATCTAGAAACACAGATCGCCTCGACTTTACACACCATCCCCTTAATAATAAACGCGATCAAAGGGCTCCTTCACAGAATTATTACCGTGAGCCATGAATCTTTTCACCACAAGAACATACAAGCATATCCTACATAACAATCACTACCCTAAACGAATAATCAACCACTACAACTCAACACTAACACTATCCACTATCACTAATAACACTACATCAATTCTATCAAACACAGACAAACCAACATACATTCCATTCGTTCATGGCCTTTCACACCAATTAAACACATTTCTTCTGATAACTTTAAAATAGCCTTCAATAACTATAAAACGATTCACTCCTTTTTTTCCAACATAAAAGAGCCCACACCTGTAACAAATGTAATGTGATGTAATTTACAAAATCCATTGTATAAATTGTCCGGCAACTTTCATCCCCATATCTGGATAAGAGGGTAAAACAATATAACTATGATTGCAAAAAAAAAACCAAAAAACCTACAGTACTGGATACCCAACATTTTGAACACCAACACAATTTCGACTTCAACAATCCAAAAATATTACGCACAGAACAAAACAAACATAAACGTAACTTTTTAGAAAGGTTTACATAAACAAAGATAAACAACAGACACATGTAAACTTAGCCGCAGCTATGCTAATATGGTATGTGTGGTGTTTCGTGACCGTTAACCTTGTATTTAAAATGTTTATAAATGCCAAGCCCTTAAGATGATCTCAATAAAGTTCGAAACGTTGGCAAAATAAAGAAAATGTTTGTCTAAACCTACGTCACACCAGACCGCACTCACGATCTCCAAATAATGTTTGATTATTTGTTTAACTTCACTGTTTTGATATTGTCGTATGTTCTGAAGAATTCTTTATAGTTTTCACAGTAGAAGCTCTTAAAAGCATTCGCTGTTCTATTCTTTTTTTTTTAATTAATATTGGAATCAAAATTTCCACCTGAAATAAAACGACCTCCTGACAAGGGTGACATGAATTTTTGCTGCAGGTTCGACGAGCGGCAGCGGTCGCAGGTCTTCAGGGAGCAGGCACGTCAGTTCAACGACGGTGACGTCGAGTGAAAGCGGCGCCAACGCTAACGGAAGCGGCAACGCGGCGAGCGGCGAACAGGGGAGCGAAACCGCCGCCTCCGCACCCGCCCCCGCCACCACTACCCTTAAATGTACCCTCTGCCAAGAAAGGCTCGAGGACACCCACTTCGTCCAGTGCCCTTCTGTCCCGCAGCATAAATTCTGCTTTCCTTGCTCACGAGACAGCATCAAACGGCAAGGAGCCGGATCTGAGGTAATTTTCTAATGGATTCTTAAACTTCAAACAAATCAAATTGTACACCATTTGTCAAGATAACGTTGGGCCAGACGAAGCACTAAGGAAGCTAAATTTATGAATGAGCAGCTTATAAAAGACAATGTACATGTACCTCGGCTTGTTCGTGTTTTCCACCTCTGCCGTGTGTAATGTTTCATATGTTTCCTTTCTCCATTACTTGTTTTTCTGGTCGCCAGCTTGGGAGTACGAGTGGCAAGTACGAGCCAAAGTTGCCCACTCAGGAACTGGGAGAAATAAAAGTGGGGTTTAACCTACAAAGATGACGTACGACATATGGTAGAAATAATTTGTAACGAAATCTTAATATTTTCAAAAATGTCCTACGAAAAAGTAGATCAGTTAACTAGGAGTTTTTATCTATAAAGGCCTAGAACATTTGTATGCAAGAATTACCATTTAGGTGATAATCCGGACAAAAAAATCGTTGTATTTTAAACTAAACACTGGAGGGCTTGGCACGAAACGGGGATTACCCGGCAGCGTGCTTGGCGTCAAAAATAAAATAATTGCCATCCTTGAATTAGCGTAAATTATTATACGGAGGGGGCGCTCCTTTATAAACCCGCGTATCGCCAAAAGGAAACTTATTTAATTTTTCAAATACATAGTTATAAATATTTCCTTTAAAAAATTAATAATTAATCCAGAAAGTCCAAAAAGAAGAATATCAAATAATTAGCCACTCTTGCTTGGATGGTATTACTTGAAATTTTGTTTGAACATTTTGTTAAATATCGGCGTTTATTTAATTTATTTAAATAAGTTTATTTAAATTTCAGAATAAAATTTAAACATGAAAATTATTCCTCAAAATATAGGCCATCATTTAACTAATCTTACTGGCAGAAGTTGAATTTGGTGGTGATACCAGTCCGGGGTTTTCGATGCGAAGAACTCGTCACATCCTAATTTGACATGCTTGCAGTTTTCGAAGTTCCGGCCTTTCAAAAAATGCGATATTGGCCGGACAAGACCATGGTGGACCAAGGCGGTGCGACGTCAGGGTGTAAGGAGGGTGGGGATAGTTAGTTGCTAACACCCTTTATTTCTGAACATTTTCCTTTGGATAAATGTGAACGATCGGCAGGAGCGTTGTCTTGCTGAAATATCGTTTTATCCCGTTTGAGTAAAGCAGGGTACTTCTCTTTTAAAACCCCATATACTCTTTCGAGTTGTTCACGGTAAAGCTTTGCGTCAATAGCCGAGCCCCCTAGAACCAGCTCAAAGTACAAAACACCCTCATAATTCCTCCAAACACCCTTAATCTTTTTTGCTTAGATTGCGAACTTTGCGAATCTCTGCTTGAACCTCTTGGCCTTGCAGTATCCACTGATTTCGGTAAATAGGTTTTTTAAAATATCCATTTTTCATCGCTCGTTACAATTCTCTTCCAAAATCTATCATCTTTTGGAATTTGAAGCAAACTTTTACAGATATCAACTCGTTGAGCTTGGGCGGCTGACAAGTCATGAAGATCTGTTCTGGATCGTATATTTCTGACATTAAGCTTTTTAAATGGTGGCTTACTGTGCATTTGAAACCTCCGTTTTGGACGATACTCCTCGAGTGGTCACATACCGATCCTTATTCTCGAGTAAGTACCAGCATCCACCATTGAAGGGCGACCAGATCTAGGCTCATCTTGAAGGCTGTAGTTCCCAGAATTGAACCACCTGAACGAAAACGCTGCAGTGTTTGCACTTCCCCTGCACAGATTTCCTGGGCTGCTGCCTTCGCACTTAGCTCTTTTTTCCAGTAGGCGACGATGGCAATTTTTTCTTCCAACATTTTCGGTGAGAGAGAGATTTATAAAATGGAATGAACGGCAGCCAGTTGGTATACATTTTTAAATAAAGGATTTAGTCCAAAAAACAACGATATATGTATTGTTTACATTAGAGTCGAATAAGGATTAAAATTGACCCTTTAATATCATCAATTATATGCACGGAGATTTTTGTAACGACCTAGCATATACACATACTTATGTTCCCGGCACAAAAGATTCTGTTTTATTTATTTTGCGTTGTGTTTATGTTTAATAATATGATATTAACATTAATATGTTTTTCGTGAGGAGCGGTCAAGAATGAGATAGTTTAGATAAACACCTTTTTCAATTTTTTTTACCTACGTTTCGACCTTTAATCCGGGTCATCTTCAGGGCATAAAGTGTGATGTGTTATTCTTGAGTTGTCATATAGGTGTTGTCTGAAATTGTTATGAGAACTCAATATGATACAAGTGTCGCACTACACTTTATGCTTTGAAGGTGACCCGAATAAAGGTCGAAACGTCGAACACACTGCCCCATTCTTGACCGCCACGAATCCAACAAATTATTTAAAAAAAAATGTTTAATTTCCTAGTTTCTACTTTTTGCCTATAATATTCAGTCGGGTCTTGATGGAACGACGTCTCAATAGAATCTACCAAATTATTTCCGTAATAGAACAGACCTAGAATAGAAAATAGACTTATTTGATAATCGGTTGTATACGGCTCCTTGAGCAGATTTCCCGTTTCAAACAATTTCGCCCAGTTCTTTAGCAATTTTACTTTATTTTAATCACTTGGGCGTCGTTCTTCTTACAAGATTAAGATCAAAATTTGTGTCTATATTGGCATTTTGAAGTATTAAAGAGCCTGAATGATGGTCAGGTATTACATTGAAACTACTGTTTGTCTGTGTTTGTGCTCCCGGCATTCACCCTGGCATTCAATTTGCCTCAAATTTGCATTTATTGTCTCATACAGTATTGTCTATACGTAGTAAACAAGTAGGGCCCTGCCATACGTTTGCTGGAATTCCAAAACTAGAATTTATTTACTGGGAGACTATCTTTTTTGAATGAAAAATCTGTTAATATAAATGGCATAAACAACTTCAAGTTTAAAAAAATAATAATGCAAAATTGTTGAAGGAGTCAATTTTCTACTATAATAAGTTATATATTTGAAGGAATTTTGTGATAATACATCTTGTTAAACGTTTATTTTAAATTTATTATTAATGGTTTGTTTTTTGTTTTATCGTGTGTTTCCAGGTGTACTGCCCTAGTGGAGAAAAGTGTCCTTTGGCCAATTCCAACGTTCCCTGGGCCTTTATGCAGGGCGAGATAGCGACCATACTCGGCGATGAATTCAACAAGGCGAAGAAAGAAAGGGACACCTAGACGTCCGTCGAACTCTGCCCTACGGGCGAGGTTGAATCTTTGTAGCCGTGCCGATCCCGTATTTGGCTAGGCGAAAAGCGATCAAGTATTTCATTGTAAATACTGTGAAATTGTATAGTGGGGCCCGATGATCTCCTCAATTAATATTTTAAGGGAAAAAAACGCAAAATGTTATTAGACCCCCGCCGAATCCCTGTTAAATCCGGGGGTGTCGCGGGAATATTTTTGTAGTGAGTCCTTTGGCTATACACAAAATTGTACAGATACGTGTTAATTGTCGAATCAGGAGCATCAGGATGGGAAAAGGAGATCTCTGTTGAAAAAAAAAAAAACGGAGTCGTTTGTTAATTGTAAAAAAATTGGATAGAATTTCGCAGGAGAAAGGCGAAATTCGAGAATTTACAATCGTATTTTTCTTTTAAAATTTTGTTTTAACGTTTTATAGTTCTTGATCGAATACCTATGTATTATCTGTTTGTAAAAATTGTCATTTAAAAAAAAATTGAACCAGCCGAAATTCTACCAAGCCGAGAAGCACCTTAAAAATAATTTAATTGTTAGAAGTTGAATCAAATTGAACTTTACGCTTTTAAATATTTGTATAATTTTAAGACAACTTGTATAAATAGATGGATGAATATGATTGTATATATATTTTGTGGTTTATTAGTCATGCGGCAGCACGATGATATGTTGCCTTTGTACAAAACAGCCAAATAATTGTACGATTTTACAATTTTATATTCTTGTCTGTCTTTCACTGTCCCATTAGTTCTCACCCTTGCGCTACGCTTACTAGGTTTATACAGTTTGTCTTGCAAAGATCGGAAGTTGTTATCAAATTAATTTTTTTATCGTGCACTACCGACCAGAGAGACATCACCTTTTCAAATTGAAAACAGAATTTAAAAAATTGAAATCTTTCGGCATGTCAACTGAAGCCTAAATTATGGAATTTTCGGCGTCTTGGTTTTTGGGTGTTTTCCTTTATTATTATTTTTTATCCCACCCCTTTCCAGTCCGGTTCCGGTACTTTTGTATTTTTATTTCCACCTTTACCCTTTCGTGGCCGGAAGCTCGGCCGGCGAATATTTGGCATAAATGAGTAACCGCTGCTTTTAATTTTTACGTATTTGAATTAAGTAATATTATATATTGTGTGAATAGATTTTGCCTAGTCACTCCATGGACCTAGGTCCCATAAGAAGGAACTCCAGAACTCGCGTGTCTTTAGGGAACTCAAGCTCCGTTCTCTTACCTAGGTTGAACAATTCAACATTAAAAAAACGTACTTTTTGTATAAAATAAATAAATAAAAATAACTATTTAGCCTTTAAGGTATTTTGTCAAAACGCGAGCTATGTCCTCTATTGCTTTTTATTTTACTTTATTTTTATTTTATTTACAAGAGAAGCATTACTACCTTGTTTATATTTGTAAAAAGAAATTGTATTATATTTTATGACTATATTGTAAATATTATATAAGAAAAGTAATAAAATTGCCATTGTTAAGACGGTGTACTATCCATTAGGGCTTAAAAAGAACATCGATGTATTTACTTTTTTTTTTAAATTATTATTTACAAAGAAAAAATTTTTAGGCCGTATTTGGAGACCCTCGACGATCATTCCGACTGGCCCAAGTCCACCATTATTTACCAGTGCGGTTTGATTGATTTTTTTTACAATTATTGACCTATTGATTGACTGATGACTGAATTCACTGTGATTTAATGAAACCGAAATAACTCTCCGGTTATGTTTTACAACTAAGACGATTCGACCCACTGTACTGTTTTGAAACGAAATGATAAAATTTCTTTTTTCCGTTCCTGACAAGACGAACGCTTTATTGAGGACATAGACCTATATTCATGTTTCAAATTAAAAGGAAAATATTTATGAAAATTTATTTGGGTATATAATTAGAAGTCAGTATGTTGTGTACACCATGTAATAAACTAGTTAATAAGATAATAAGAAAACTTAGTGTCAGTGTTTAATTTTAATAATCTTTATAATTTTAATATCAAACAGAAAACGAAATACTAATTTTTACAAGAGAAAAAAAAGGAATGTATTGTAATAAGATAATCATTTTGTATTGTGAACTAGCTTACCGATTGTACTAAACAATAATAAGGGAAATATTAGGGTTTAGATTGTATTTGGAATAGTCACTTGCAATTTGTACATTTTTTTCTGCCAGTTTATACATAGGAAAAAAGTTCAAAGAGAAAGCTAAACGTGGGCAGAAAATTTAAAACAATGTGATATACAAATTACAAGGGGGACACATAAATAGTATGCTCATACCGTTATAGATTTTAGAAAAGAATAATAATACACCAGAATAGAAAGTAAGACATATTGAATTTATTGTAAATATTAAATGTTGTCATATAAAAAACAGCCCATTGTTTTAGAATGTTAACACCCTTGTAGTGATGCATCAGCTTGTTCATGTAGGTGCAGTGAATGTATTTGGAAAAAAATGAACATAACATTTGTCAAAAAAACAGGTTTTATTTTCAGTAAAGCCGTTATCGGCCTCACAAATTGCGATAAATTGCAAAAAAAAGGTCATCAAATTTAATAAAAAGCAAAATAAAAAAATTATTTTGGTGTTATAAATACGTCGTTTTATTTATCTGATCATCAGGAAGACCGAGTCACCGGTTGCCAGATTTATTCCGGTAACTGCCATTGACCTCTGCCTCTTTCTCTCTCTCTTTCTCTCTCTCTTTCTCCCAAATTTACAAGTCCCTGCCTATTTCGAGATAGGAATGTCTCACGGGATAGCATTTTCGCTCATTGAACCTTCCCCTCCACTTGACAGTCGTCCAGGGTTTGCTTCTTGCAAGCGAAAATCAAAGAATTTTTCACAAATCTTTGGCAACTTTTACTAAAGGAGAAACCCCTCGTCGATGTCATTTGGACCTTCCAAAAGTTATTGCATGTATATAGTAGTTAATTGGGAAAATGGTTAAGCTTTGTTGATATAATAGAATGATGCTGGATAATGGAAGACTGAGGAAGTACATGAAACATTTCGATAACTGGCAGACAAAACAAATATATAACAAGTGCAGGATGTTGGCATATATATATTCCTTACAGTTTTAGCGGTACTTATGCTGTAGAAGGAACAATATTGGAGGAAAATCATGGTGTCCCACAGCACCATCAGATCATACGAAAACGTTAGAAGGGACAAAACAACTTTCTCGATGCGCCGGGCGCAGGAACAATATAAACCAACATGACTGAGATTCTATATGATAAAGTTCATAATAGGTTAAAACGTTTCAACAAAAATATGATTTCGACACATCATATCGACTATTACAGCCTACTGTCAGTTTACAGCCAGTATCAGCCGAGATTCTGCAAACATTCCACGGTGGAATATGTTATTCTGCTCGAGGCAGCTTGCTGTTCAAGACACTTTTCTGAACGAAGAACGCTCTGGCCGTCTACGTTCAATAAATACATATAGTCTTAAAAAACACTAGGGGCACAAATCTATCAGCACTGTATAAAATTTCCTCCAAGAATCAGAGCAGGGGACTAGATACAAACTGCCGTGCTGAAGCACAATTCTCAGATCGGATGGCATTCCCACACGCTCTTTACATGGAGCCAAGGAAAGGCATCCTTAAATTAAGTGGGACACATCGAGTAATCTTTCTGTACATGGCAGACACATACGCGAGCTTTGAGCATCATTTATAATTTCTACGCGAGCTTTGTCTATAAAAGTAAGTGGCCTGTGTGACCTAGCAAGCCTATACTGTTATGCGGTTCAGCAAATAAACCAACAAGAATGCACATATTAATAATAAATAATATGTAAACAAGACGAAAAACACAAATTTGTAATTTTAGAGAGAATAAGACAATAGATTTCGAAGAAAGAAAAAAGACGTCTACAGTTCTGAAAACCCTACATAACTGATATGATTAATCACTTGAGATGAGTGTATATCGTGTTCTATGTTGGCTGTACACATTTCCATCTTTTTGCCTATGATTCACTTATTTGTTGCCAATTTGATCAGATATTGACAATAATATGAACGCTTAGGCTAAGAATAAGTCACATCAGATCAATCGAATCGGTGACAATGAAAGTTATCTCAAAGTTGGTGATGTTCATAGGTCTGTGGATGAACATAAGATGAACTGGCCGACATCCCTCATCAATTCGCACCCACTTATTTTTAACTGATGATGGCGTAAAGCAGAAATGCGTGAGTAAAACGTAACAGTCGAGAACCAAGTAAAGTGAGTGTCGATCAAAAAGCTAGCTTGTCATCGTTTAATCATTGTATGCGTCTTTTCTCACGTGTTACAACATTTCTGTTGGGAGTCAGGAATTGAGTAAGAGACGAATGGACGATAAAATGATTAATCAGCATTATTTACATTACTTTTTTTTTAACAAAAGAGATTTCCACTTGTTTAACTGAAGAATCAGACAAACTCAACTGGTGAGTAAACTGTATTCAATACAGTATACACTTCTAACCTAAATGATTTTTTTTCAACACTAACATGATTGAATAGAGCAATGATGACGTGAAGCCGAGTTACATCAGAATGAAAGTGAAAAGTTCTGTTTATCCACTAAATTGATAAGTAATTGAAGTCATTGCTAATTAAATTATTGATTGATAAGAACAGGTTGTAAAACCGAGAGTAAACAACTTGGCGATTCGACTAATGTAATCTGTTTTATAAACGCATGCGAATGTGTTTTGATTTGTTTCCAGAAGACCCTGAACGCCTCCTTTCCTCGTTGAGTAATAGATTATTTTTACCAAAATTAAATATTTAATATCCAGTCTTATCAGGCCGTAGGAAATATTTATCCTCTTACAATATCACGTTTATTTTTGTTTTGAACGAATTTTTAAACGTTTTGTCAGCCGAGTACTTGAAAACCATCGTATGATCCGAACGCCCACCGGAAAAGATTTCTGAGGCGAATTTAATTCATGATTTTCATACGGGCTGGCCCACATTTCGTGTATCATCGCATAATTTGAATTGTTTATACGCATAAGAAAAGTTAAAAAATATCTGAACACACCTTTGTAACTGCATGTGTTTTTATGTAGGTGAGGGTAATATGGCGACAGTAGCCCTTTGATACGATCCATTTGATCCCAATAGATCCATCCTTATAATTACGAGGAGGTTCTGTTTTTCACAGATTGGAGGACTATGGCGAGGTAAGCCGATAATTTACTTCGACCTTTTGCCTAACAGATTCACCATTAATTCTATCATACCACGCCACAGTGTTCGAAATCTGTTTTAAATTCATCCATGTTTATCCCCGTAAAAATAATTTATTTATCTTCGGCGTTTTTATAGTCAAATGCATCACCATAAAAGAATTCCTACGTCGAACAAGATGTCGATAAGAGATGAGGGAAGTGAGATTTGAAAGAAAAGCTCCTTTTACAGCAGATAGGCCGTAAACATTTGACACCTTGATAAAAGGAGATGGCATTACACAAATCCGTCCTTATTTTTTGACGACACACAAATTTCTAGCGCCTTCAGTCAAGTTCGGTTCGAGATTTACGGGCATCTGGAATTCGCCAGCATTTATTATTCTATCATAATTCCATCGCATGAACGTTGCATTTAACTTGTTAGCTGTTTTAAACAATAATGTTAAAGTTTTATAAAGCTTCGTCTATTTGTCATCTCCATTTTGACGAACAAACTTCTTAAAAGTATCCGTTAACAGTCCGGCATCCTATCTGTCAACGGACAAGGCCAAAGGTTAAAGAAAAGTTCCAACAGTCAAGAAGATCTGCGACCAACGTTCTCCATAATTTAGATTTTGTGATTGGCAAAGCCTTCCATGATTGGTGAAGAGATAACGTTGATAAACGCTAATAAAATGGAATTATCACTGATGATTAACATTTGTTCTTTTTTTTTCAATCGGACAGGATGGCGAACCGGAGGGAGATCTGCTCCATCTTGAAACAATAGTTGAACGATATGTCAAACCTTCCTCGCGGTTAATAAAGAAAATTATGTATAAATAAGATTCTTTTTTGTTTGTATGGTATGAATTAAGGTTGTTTTCCTGTTTTCACTGTTTGATTTACGTTGCGAAAACGTGAGATAACATAAGAAAACCTTGTCGAATTTGCTTCTTAACTTTAAATTATCGGGATCATGTTATCTCAATTTTTAACTGACAATGTTGGAACTTCCACAGGAATCTTTTCTTATCATTTCCTGTATGAAATGATTAGATTTATCGGTAGAGGACACCCACTCGGATGCAAACTGATGTCATTGTCTGGAACGGTTAAAATGTCAAATAGTCAAAATGAACAAATAGCTCAACTATTAATAGTAATTACACTTATCACTGCGAGAGATATCGAATCTTGAGTAATTGCGTTTCGCATTTTGGTTTTTATCTAATTTTTTTAGGTTGATTAAATGAATAGACGATGATGTCACAGTTAAATAAAAAGATTATTATTATTATTCTTTCTTCGTTCTTCCCATTTGTTTTATAATCAAGAAAGAAAGAAAAGTTTTGCATAAACTGTTTGGATAACAATAAATGTACATAATAGTTAAAAGTAAAAATATAAACACCATAACAGGTAACAATTTCCAAAATTGAAACCTTCCTTTAAAAAACCACGAGCCATTTTTGGCAAAGTTTATTTTGTTAAAACTATTATTAAAAATTTAAAATGTTTTAAGGTAAATATTAATTAATCTATTTTATGTAAGGTTTCGGTATGTAAAAGCTAGCGCCATGGGCGGGATTCGAACCCACGACCTTCGGCTAAATACGCCTCTGCTCTAACCATTTGAGCTGTCGCGACTTCGATCCACTCGGACACCAACTCCCCAACTCTACCTACAATATTTCGAATTTTCCCTCCGTTTTGCCATTTTTCAAATGTCGAGTAAACAGGATTCGATTCTCGGCGACAAATGAAGTGGCCACGGGGAGCTGTTGGTGAAGTTGTACTTCGTTTTACTTATTAAATATATTATATTTAGTGGTCTAGTGACCAAATTACTTCTTTCAATTTATTACTCTATTTTATTTAAGGTTTTGGTTGAAATGAAAAAGCTAGTGCCACAAGCGGGATTCGAACCCACGACCTTCGGCTTGGTGTAGAAATAAAATAAGAGAATGGCACAGGTTGCCGAAACGGTGAAGAAAAATAACAAAAATCATTTAAATTTTTTCAAAAAGAACAAAAATAAAATAATAATTTACTTCTATACAAAAAGATAATTCTTTTTAGTCTAATCCGAATTTCAACCCGAAGGGTGTGTTTTATATACAAATTAATGCAAATTCAACATACACGGGAAAATAATTAGTATTATCTTTGATTTGGTTTCGAGACATAACAAAAATAAAGAAAAATAAATAAAATACATTCTTTTGATATATATAAACGGAAAATATATTGATTTGGATAAATGTAAGATAAAATGTACTAGTAAACCGAAAACGATAATGAAAATAAAAGCGATAAAAAATAAGATTTGAGAATTGTACGATTAAAACAAAGAAATTATTGACTGAGTTTATTGGAATCAATGGTATTGATAAATTTGGTAAAATAATTGACAAGGCTGTTACATGAGTTGCTCCGTTTGTACTGGTCAGGCAGTGTTCTCCCGTAGTAAGAAATTTTTCCATTATTCCTGGAATACTCTCCAATTTGGGGCACTCCAAAATTAGATGATGCCAGTCCCGAACGGAAGCGCCATAGTTGCATGAAGGGTTGACGATTATGTTGAAGCTGTGCAAATAGGCGCTGTTTTGCTCGTGATCGCTTAATGCCTGTGTCAATTAGGGTGATATTTGGAGCGGATTCAATCTGGACAATATGGTCGGAAAGAATGCTTTTGTATGTTTTCCTTTTTCCATAGTACTCTTCCCAGAGCTAAAATGTCTGCTCCCTGCCTTGTATGTGGTTGTACGTTCTTGGAAACGTTTCGTAGGCTATATCTTCCTGCAGCAGCCTTTGCCTGTAATCGGCTTCCACATTTCCAGGACACCCATATGAGCTTTCATCCTTACAAGAGATAACAACCACCCCGCTTGGCTAAGGTGTTTTATACCTTGTCTTATTTCGTGGACCATTGTGTTCGAATTTTTGTTGTTCTCTATTGCCTTGAGAGAGACTTCGCTATCTGCTTGATCGTTGCAGTCTTTTTGCAAATAGAATCCTTTCAGCTGAAACCATTGTATCGCCTTATTGCTAGAAGCTCCAACCTACAAGCCTGCAGTGCAAAGTAAGAAGCGGTGTTTCCTCGCTCTCTTTATACACAACTGCACTGCAACCTAATTCTACATAAGTTTTACTTCCATCGGTAAAGACGTTATATGTATTTATTGTGCCATTTACTTTCTCTCTTGTATTTCAATAGTTTCGGCTGGGTGGTGACACTTATTAAGGGCATTAGGTGTTCTTTTTCATAACGTGGGCCATTTCCGTTGTTAATGTTGCGCATAGTGAAAAATTTATCCACAAATTCACTTATTTTCAGATCGATCGAGGACCTGATATGATGCGAGCAGGTTCAAACGATATTGTTTTAAAACCGCCGCAGCAATCGGCGTTAATTTTTTATTGTTTTTTTTTTCTTTGCCTAAAGGTGCCGCCCAAGCTGGAGCCCATGGAATAATTGCTCCTTTGTAGATAATCTAATAACCAGAGCATCCGACCCCATTCCCCATACCAGCAGACCGGGCAAGTTAGTGCAAAAGTTGGATAGAATAACGACATAATTAGTCTTTTAGTTGTTCCATGTCATATTCGTATCAGAGATTACGCCTAAGTATTTTGTTTCTTGAACTGGTTTTAATTTTTTCCTTTTTAAGTATAATCCAATTTCTCTGTTCTGGTACCATTTCCTTTCATTTTTCTCTGCTGAATGCTATACCATTTTTCGACCAGGACTAAGCATCTGTTTCCTGTACATATCAGTTCAAATTTAGAGCTTATGTGGCTGGGTCGCTACCTAAAGCTAGATGCCCAGGAAATTGTCGCTTCCCGGCTAACGTGGTTAGGCTCCCAGGCGGTGGTGTAGCTAAGCCATGTCAGCCCCCAACACATGACAACTTGCCTAATACTAACTAAATTCCATCACATGAATACATTTATATATTGAACTCATTCTGATTAGTCGGTGAAGTACTCGATATTACTTCATAGGCCTACATACAATATCAATAAGATAATCTAAATTAGGGTCGAAGGGGTACTTTTCTAAATATTCCGCCATCGATCCTAGACAAACACTCACACACTATCTTTCTATGTATAAGAAACACCTGCGTGAGCTATTGAGCATTTGTAACATACCATCAAGGAAAAGTGATGAATTCTTCGATCAAATATTTTCTTGTTATACATTTGATATTGCGTAAAAGGAATACTAAAGTCAAATTTTAAAAAATTGAAATGTTTACATATCTATTTCTACTTTTATTTTTGGCATGCAATACCCCAAAAATCTCATGCTTGTATGCCGTATTCGCTAGTTCTGCTTGTGATGAAAGCAAACTCAGTTTATTAAAATAATGTATTACTTTGAAAAATATTATATGAGATTATTTTTCCCAGTTTCTGTGTCTTTCTGGACGTGCGTGATTGTTATTATTTATTTACATTTAGCCATTCTTTATTTATTTACATTTAGCCATTCTTTAAATGTTTAGCGGTCATAATTGACCATATTAATCATTTAAATTAAATATTCTTTTTATCTAAGGTCTCGGTTGAGGTGAAAAAGTTAGTGTCACGGGCGGGATTCGAACCCACGGCCGTAACATTATGTTATGCATAAGGCTGTATAATTATTATGTATATAGGGGGCGTCGGTGGCCGCAAGGTTTAGTCTTTGACACGGCGCTCATCACTGTAAGGTAAAGGTCCCGGGTTCGAATCCAGCGGCCCTGCATTCGAACCCGACATACTTACAAATGGGCTTTTTTTCAAAAACACCGGTACCCTGAGGGTCTATATGACCTCTGCTGTTGCGAACCCTCGTTAAAAAAAAAAAAAAAAAATTATTATGTATAACTCCATAATATTTAGTGGCCTGATTGACCAAATTACTTCTTTCAATTAATTGATCTTTTTATGTAAGGTTTTGGTTGAAATGAAAAAGTTAGTGTCACGATCGGGATTCGAACCCACGACCATCGGCTTAATACGCCGCTGCTCTAACCACTTGATCTACGATGATTTCAATCAGTGGTACATACTATAACATATTTTAGTATATCTTCATTAACAATATTTCAATTTTCTGTGTACAAATATTTATCCGCCAATTATCCATTTTTCATATTTCTTTACTGAAAATTTAGGAGTATTTTGACAATTTTATTTGCCTTTACATTACCTTCTACAAATACTTTCTACTCTTTCACGGTCATTATTCGACTATATTTATAACATTTTTCCATTAACCAATATTAAAATTTATTAAGCCACAATTTGACCGTAGTATATAATATAAATTTATCTCATTTGCTGTAGATTTACAATGTGTGTACTTTCCCATGTCAGAGTACAACAATTATATTCCACAGGATCCAATTTATTTATTTGTTTATTAAATTCACTAATTTCGTGGTCCGCTTGACCAATTAATATATTACAATTAATTAAGGTTTTTAGTTGAGATAAAAAAGTCAATGGCACGAGCGGGATTCGAACCCACGAATTCAAAAGGTGGGGTTGAGATGGGAAGGTAGTGTCCGAGTGGATCGAGGTCACGATAGCTCAAGTGGTAGAGCAGCGGCGTATCAAGCCGAAGATCGTGTGTTCGAATCCCGCTCGTGCCATTGACTTTTTTTATCTCAACTAAAAACCTTAATTAATTGTAATTTATTTGTTTAATTAATTTGTAAAGTTTATTAAATTAAGATTTTTTATAAATATGTTCACAGCTTGTTTTTTCGTAACTATTTTACATTTACATATTTTAATTATATGCATTTAACAATTTATCCAAACTAGCAGTTTCTTAGTTTTAATTTTAAACAACATTAACTTTTATTTAATTCTTCTTCAGTCATGGAAGGTTCAGACCCGCCAAAAAGAAGCAATGGACCCAAATAAATAGTAATCCGCAGAAGCGAGGTCAGGGCTGTATGATGTGCTTGATAGAAGGGAAAGTTAATTCATTTTCAGTCGATGGAAAACGTCAATGTGTTTTCTAGTTATGTATATAAACTATTGTTAAAATAAAAATATCTGAATTTTTACTCGTTGTTTTCAAATTACTTAATCTCATATTTTGATAATAATGCATTCTAGTATCATAATAGGATGAAAAAGGCAGTCTTAATTTCGAGATTACAAAAACTATGTTCGTGTAAGTCTCAAGGAGAGTCTGCCATGTCGCATGAGGGAGAAGTTATGCTTCAAGGTTTTTGAATTTGTCTGTTGTTCGATGGCTTGGAGTTTTTAAGCTAAGAAATTTTTTTTTTGCAATTTAACAGATGGTTTTATGGCCCTTCGTTCGAAGGTAGAGTTCCAAATTTGTTTCAGACCTATGAGGAACCATATAAAATAGAGGACATATATAGGAAATATGTCTTACCTTAATCAGTTAGATATGTGTTACTTCTTAACGCCATTTCCGCTTAAGTTTGTAACACCTCCACTTGTCACGCGATCCTGTCGAATGCAGCCTCGCGTCGTGTCCTATACATTGCACAGCTAGTGAAAAACGCCCTTTTCCTGAAAGAAACGAACTACTGTGTACTCGGTTTTGACAGCGTCGTTTAGTGCGAGAAAGTTAATTTTTATTTAACACCGAACTCTACACCATAATATACCAATAGATAAAATTACATATACAATACAATGGTAACAACAATATACCTTGACTCAAAACATAAGATCTCAGGTCACCGAGCGCGGTCGATGGGGGCCGATGCACATTAACTGCAAAGGTCCAAAAAGAATAATTAATTTAATAGTTAATACGTATAATAAATGTTTATGTGTGCTAGTTGCAAAAATCTATACAACCATGTAGTGAAGTGACTTTGGTTCAATTTCTGTAGATTCTATTTGTTCCAACAAATTATGTTGTACCCCACAATCAACCATTTCTTAAATGTCTCAACTAAGATAGGTAACTTTATATAATTGACAGTTACGTGCTTGGTTTTCTTGTACTTGTTTTGTTTATTCAGCAATACTATCAATTTGTGTTTGTTAATACAACTTCCTTCTTATTTCCTTATCTTCTACGTTTTTTATTTTTCGCTATTCACCTCTATTGATATAATCTATGAACTAGAATCTCTATAATTTTATATTTTATCGTGTATTTTTTTAGTTGAAAGTTTTGTACTGTTTGTAATATTTTTTGTTTTGTTTTATTTTCAGAGCTGTTAGCACTGCGCCTAGCAAATGTCAGACGGATAGCTGTCAATCCGAAGCTTCATGTTCGCTGCCCAAGTTCAGATCTGTCAGCAGGCCCAGTTCTGAAAATCCTGTCTCGTTTTCCAGGTATGATTCAACTTTGCATATGTACATTTCGCCAAGGAACCAGACGGTAAAAGTACTTAACAATAGCAGTACGATTTTCGTGACTTAGAATAACATTGTCGCTAAGTGACAGACAGAAACCCGTTCGGCTTATTCCTAGCCGTGAACCTAATGGGACGCATGCCCTTTACAAAGGCTTTCTAAGGAAGGCTCATTAGCATACCGGCCACATCAAACACTTATGGAACCTTAGACTCTTTTTCATATATATGTGTCTTTGTGTTTACCATGTCAATAGGGCCCGAGACGGGCTTGGTAAAAAGGGGAAAGGTTTGGAAGCCGACTGTTTTCACTAGGATATTTTTCGCCTTCCTTTGACTTCGGCCAGCCTTTATTTATCTATTTGCAGTTAAGGTTTTATCGTCCTATTTCCTTTTTTACCTCAACCCTCGTCAAATTAAATTTGAGAGAGATTTATTGTCAACACATTCAAAGCCTTTAATTTTATATAATGACATGATGATACAATAAATCATACCATGAACAATCTAATATAAAACATAATTTGTTTAAAAAGATTAATAACACATGACACAATTTATATGTTACTTCTTTATAGATGTTTCTTCTATGATTTTTTGACGATTCTTTTTTAATGTTAGGAATTATAAATCTCAAGATTAATTGTAGGCTAACATGGAAGTTTTTCATTTTCGGATGAGGCCCGTGAACCGTCTATGCGACGGAGTGGAAGAAATAAATTTTATAGGACAAGATTCTTTTATTCTTAGTTCAGAGAAATTTTTCATCTGTAGTCACTGATTGTGTAACTGAATAACGTAAGTGTTCGTCCTTAAGTTTGAGTTCGGATTTTAGTGAGTGAGTCAATCTTTTGAAGGTCCATTTATGAGAGGGATTGCGGGTCCGTTGCCATATGGCTTGCGCACGCCATTTCTCAATGACGAGTCTTTTTGTAAAGCCGTGCGTTCTTTTGTGTGTGTGTGTGTGTGTGTGTGTGTGTGTGTGTGTGTGTGTATTTTGTGGTTTACTGTGAGGTAAGATTAAGGTATGTTTGTTGTGAAGTGGCGTACAGCGGTGTCTTCCGGATCCAGTAGGATGTGAGGGAAGGATTAAGAGTTGAAAGAAAGTTTTGTTTAAGGGTTTACAAGCAGTAGAGGTCATATCAACTCATATGATGCCGGTGGTTTTGAAGCCCATTTGTATGTATGTCGGGTTCAAAGTAGAGCTGTTGGATTTCAACCCGGACCTTTACAGAGATGAGGGGGATGTCAACGCCTTAAACATTTAAGCCATGGACGCTCCGTAAAAGTAAACTGGAGATACCAAGATCGAACCCGGGGCTTTCACAAGCAAAGCGAATAGTAAGGATAAGGTCAAGAGGAAATAAAACCAAAATTTAACAGAAAACATTTAAAAGGAGCGACCGTGTGTATTAGTTGAGCGACACCCCAACTGCTGATGGTTAAATTTGTAAGCTTTTGTAATTACTACCAGAGATGAACCTGGGATCTAGGACTTGAAGAATTTTTTTTTATTGGACGATAACAACTGAGTACATACCCATCTATTTACTTCACTTTAATACATAATGCACATAAGGCGTAATTAGTTCACTGACTAACCTCCGCGTTACAAGGGATCAAATCTCTCTACTCGTTTGCCATAATGAACACAACTGATAAGAAAACTGAACAAGCGGACCACCAAGTCCAAGGGCTTCGTCCTTTTCAGTCTTCTTACTTCTTCGCTGTTATACAACAGCTGGAGAGCTTGCTATTTTGATGCCGGTGAAACCTTTGCTCATGATTGCAGCAAAGCGTCAAATTGCAGCACCAACAGTTTCCACCCGGAGATCCCGATGTAGATCGTTGAGAATGTACCATGGTGCATTCACAATGCTCCGAAACACTTTTTTTTTAAACATCTGTATCATCTTCACATTAGTTTTCTTGGTACAACCCTAAAGCTGGATACCATAAGTACATACACGCTTTAGAACTTGCTGATAAAGGAGCACCTTGCTGTATATTGCTATATACTGAATATCGACCAAAGAGCTAGTACATTTTTCGAAATTGGATTTTGCGTTCTCTAAATTTTTTCTTAACATGCTCTTTCAACTTGCGTTTGGCATCTAAGGTCATAGACAAGTACTTCGCTGTATTTGTATATGGTACCCTAGATGCATTCAGTTCAAATAGAATAGAACAAACTTTCTATTGGTGAAGTGAACATGCACAGATTTTGTCTCGTTTAATTGAAGGCGCCACCTTGCTGTCCACTTAAAGTAAAGTCTGTAAGAGCTTTTTGAAGCTTGGCCGTTGCTTCTTCATCACTATCTCCTGTAACTCCAAGAAATGAGATGAATTGAGGTTGTAAAGATGTGTAGGAGTGGAATAAATAGATGCGTTTGTAAATTTGAAGATGATTGATATGCACTGATGATTGGAATGGAATCTGAGGTTGTGAGTCGCAGGAATCTGTTGATGTTGACCTCCGAGGGGTCGTTATTTAATAGTGTTGTNCTCCTCGCACCTTATGTCCCATATCACGGGACTTATACGAATATCTTCAATGAACTGCTTCACATTGAAACTTGCAGTCCAACGCTTTCCATGGTGAACTCAGTTGACTCAACTAGGGGTGGACTGAGTTGAGTCAACCAGTGCGGATGAGTACATGTCCACCCGCCTGGGCGGACGAGTTGACTTCGTGTGAAGGGGTTGGGGCGATTCCCAAACATTTTGATACCACGTTACACTCCTTGACACCCGTCCGTTCAACTAGTTGAATCAACCAGTTGCCTCGTCTGAAAGAGACCTAATCCCTCCCTTTTCTCGCATAAATTGTCGATTCTGTGAAGTGCTTGGGTGTTACAATTAGTAAAGCCCTTTCATGAAGATTGTAAGTGTGTAACAAGACAGAAAATCCATCGTGCGCTGTACCAAAAGCTACGTATGAATGTGTTACCATCGGAATCAAAAAAGCAGTCAGTGACATTGATTCCACACTTAGACTACTGTTCTCTCGATATTACAGCAAAGTTGGCACAAAACTACAGAGAGCTATGAACTCCTCGGGTAGATTCATTTTTGGTACGAAGCGTGATGAACACATTACTTCGTTTATCACCGTTTGAAGTCAAGTAATGTTGAATATAGAAGATTTTATTTTCTGGGTTCGTTTCCCTATGGTTTATCCCAAGCCAGATCCCTTCAAAAATTACATAATCAGTTTATGAGTAGAGGTCAGCTTGAAGTGATATCAACCAAGGGTTTTGATCCTGATTTATATATGCCTCTATGTCGGCCTGTTTATCACTGAACTCTGAGGGATCATTCTCTTGAACTAAGTCCCACGGAACCTTCGGTTTGTCAGGAAAGCCTCGAGAACCGAGGTAATTTGCCTCTAAATCCGATGTCCCGACTTTTCCGACCTATCGCATATCTCGAGCCTTCCCGAGGTCAAAGTACACTGCGAGAGCGTGCATATTCTGAATATCACTCTCGAGGAGGCAAGGATGATCGACTGATGCCGGAGTGAAAAAGGAGAAATTGAGTGAGAAGATTATCGTGAAAGGGTTGTTTGCTAAGAGTTTATTGGCAATTGCCCATTTGTTAAAAAAATGACAATTTGGGTAATTTGCTTGCAATAATTTATGAGCGTTGTTGTTTTTAGTAAAGAAGATGACATTTTGTCGATAATTAGATAATTCATTCCTCTTTTCTTACTAATATGCCCAAACTTAAAACGATAATATGTAGATTGTATTATTTCACACATTCTTTGCAAGAATAAAGACATTATCTTTTTTTTTATTAATGTGCTTAAATTTTAGTTCATAATGCGGGTTAGCAGTAATGGGGGATTTTAATGGCGTTATATCTTGGCCAGTTATTTGTCTGATGTTTTAATGATAATGGTCGAGAAATAACCGTTCGCCCATTTATTCTCAGGATGTTGCAAATTGCGCGTTAACGTCGCAGTTTCTGCATTGTTTAATTGATTTTGCAAATGAAGCATGTACCCAAGTTTAGTCTAGACGTTGCGTCAAACCGTGTCATTCGTTTTTCCTTTCCGGTTTAACGTCCGATTTGTTACGGTTTGTACAATATTTGCCGACGATTTCTGACATCGTCTTCCACTTAGGGCATGGGAATCGACCGAAATTAGCCGAGAAAAAAGTACACAGCTAGAAAACATTTGGCGCTATCTTTCTCGTGTGGATCTAAACGGTCTTGAAAATATCCTGGAAAATAGGATTACTAAATGCGGTTGATTATCATTATCTATTCACCTGATTTTGGAGGTTCTGTACTTCTTTAGTGTTAAATCTGTCCGGTCTTTTTGGTAATTTGAATTTTCACTAAACATACCAAGCATGATTGTTTGCCATATTGTTCAAGATATGTTAGCTTATTTTCTTGTAAACTATTGTATCGTCTACTTTTTGTGTAATTCTCTTGGGAGTTATTTTAATCGAAATTAATCAAAAGTTTTTAATTTATACGGATAGATTAATGCGCAACTCACTTAGCTTGAATTCTAATGATTATTCGGAAATCGTGAAATGCGGTCTGGTGTGATGTAGGTTTCAGAAAAACATTTTCTTTATCGTACCAACGTTTCGATCTTTTTTGAGATCATCTTCAGGGCTCAAAGCGTTTGTTTTTTGTGTAATTGTGCCATTCATGCGTGTCTGGCACTCTCAACACGACACGCAAGAATGGCACAATTACACAAAAGAAAAAACACTTTGAGCCCTGAAGATGATCTCAATAAAGATCGAAACGTTGGCACGATAAAGAAAATGTTTTTCTGAAACCTACATCACACCAGACCGCAACTCACGATTTCTGAATAATCATCGACTAACGGTCACTAATCACCACATATTTAATTCTAATGTTGTGAGGAGAGGGGGTTGAAATGACAATTTCAAAAAATCAAACGAAAAAATTATTTAGCATAATTAGACGAGATGAAGTGCATCAAATACA